CGGAGCCAGGGCACCTCCGCTGCCATTCCAGCCTGGCTTTTTCTGCAGTTTCCAACTCGAGTCTTTCAGCAGTGGCCGCTCTGAGTGTACAAAAGTAATCCCACTAGAAAAACTGCTAGAAACAGGATCAGAAATGAAAAGGTAATGCCACCAACACTGGGCCGGAAAAATTATTTCTCAGGGTAAAGAAAAGGTTTCTCATTCCTGCTTTAGTATGGTTTGTTGCACAGCCAGCCAGATGTTCAGACTGGATTTGGCATTTCTATCAACCTATCAAGTCCTTCCCAAGGACCTTGGCAGATGTTGCCATTTACCTATGTCAGGTCCCTGGAAAACTTGATAAGTGGATAAAAGTGCCAAATCCAGTGTAAACATTTCGCTGTATGTATGGCTGATCATATTAATTGGAATTTAATGGTGGCGCAGTAGTTAGAATGCAATCCTGCAGGCCAGCAGTTTGAGTGTCACCGGCTCATGGTTGACTTAGCCTTTCATCCTTCCAAGGTCAGTAAAATATTATGGAAAATAGACAACCCCTCAAGTAACCAGCCCTTTACCATGTTGGGCTTTATAGGTCATAACCAGCACCTTGAATTTTTCCTGGAAGCAAACTGGTAACCAGTGCAGCTTACAAAGCCTCATGGAAATACTAAAACATGCCCATCACTGATTGATCTCTGTAGGCTGAACTGTTGAAGCTTCTTATCTTTAAGGGCATCCCATGTAAAGGGTGTTGTAGTAGCCAGCCACAAGGTTATTAGGGTATGAGTGACTGATGGGCAGATGGTGATGATGAAAATATAGAAAGGACATTCCCAAGGTCGGCATAAGTTTAATAGTTTGTTATTTATCAACTAGCTTTCATTTGATGAAAATAACTTTTTTATTTCCCCTTTAGCCAACTTCTGCTGATCCACCACCCTTTTGCTATTTGAAAATGGATAGTTTTCTTGGGGAAAGCCTTGGACTTAAAGCTGTAAATGATCAAGCAGTAAAAACCTATGAAGCAAACAGAAGACAAAAAATTTCTGTGTATGTAGCAGATATAATATCTAGAGAAAAATACCTTCCACAACTAAAAGCAAATTATTCATTCATACGTTCTTCAAGATGTCCTCTTCAGTCATCATTTTTCCCTTCAAATCTCAGCACACACACAAAGTTGATAAACCCCACAGAAAACCAGAAGGCCATTGAAATGCATTGGTTATCAATAAAGAAAGCTGATGATAACAATTCTAAGTTTTCCCGTGAGGAAAGCAATAAAATGATGAACATGGCAGTTGAGTATCTTCATTCAGATTTGAATTCAAAGAATACAGAGTTGACTGAAAAGGAGGTTGCTTGTGGTGGATATAACAAAAGAGCTGCGGTTCTTGAAAAGGAAGACTTGAGTGAGCTGCTCCAAACTGTAACTTTTGATACACCGCAATTATATTTTAATCTTATGATTCTTGAGCTAGAACTTAATAAGGTAAAATCTGAACGGGGAGTGTACAAAAGCAGATTGCCGGATACAACACATACTTTAAAAGAATTGCAAATGATCAAAGCAGACAATAATGAGAAGCTTTTTGAAGCTGAAACCGAACTGAGCAGGGTAAAATCTGAGAAAGAAAATTGCAAAGTTTACGCCTTGTCCATGGAGACAGATACCAAAAAACGTCTATCAAAAAGTAAGCAATTGGAGCAAGAAAAACAAATCAACATAAAAAATATTTTTGGCCTTCAGGAGCAACTAAAGATTATCACTGCAGAGAGAAACCAATCTAGTCAAGATCTGACTACTTTATTAAGGGATAAAGAAGCATTGGATCAGGTGTGCAACAAAATGAATATAAAAGAGCTTGACTCAAATCAAATGGATTCTATTGAATTTATCAAAGTATTGGAAGCTGAAGATAAAACCCAAGCAAAATTGCTTCCAGCTGTTAAGGCTGCAGAGGATCAATTATCACATGAAAATGTTTGCTATATGGTGCAGTGCCAGAATCTGGACAGAGTTATGAGGGATCTCATGTTGGAAAAAGAGGCAGCAGAAATTCAAATAAAAAATCTGACTGAGGCAAGAGAAGTGAGCCTTAGAAAATACGAAATCCTACACAGCAAGCTAAACATATCTGAGGCCAAAAATGCCAAGATATCTAAGTCCTTGGAAGGTTCACTAGCAGAAAAAGGTGAACTTGCAGCACGGCTAAATTCTGCACAGGAAGAAGCAAATCATTTGCGACAAGGCATTGAGAAGCTGAAAATAAAAATAGAATCTGATGAAAGGAGCAGGCTTCGTCTGGCTGAAAAGTTAAAAGAAAGCAATCGAAAAGCTGACACTCTCGCAGACAAAATTGAGTATCTGGAAAGAGAATTAGATATGTCAGAGGAGAATTTGGAAGATGCAATTCTTAGAATGGAGGCAGCTAAAGCAGAGACTGAAATAATGATGGCTGAGATAGAAAGGATGCGTGTGAGCCAACAACATTTAGAAGGTGAAGCCAAAGTCTTTAGGTCAGAGAAAGAGACTCTAGAGAAAAACATGAAAGAAAAACAAGACAAAGTAACTTGTTTAGAAGTTACTAATTTTACATTAGTAAATCAACTGAAAGAGAATGAAAAAGAGAAGGTTCAAATTAGAGATGAATGTGAGAATGCACTAAGATTAAAGGAATCCCAGCTAAAAAAAATATGTGAAGAAAATAAACTTCTTTATAGTGAGAAAGAAACTTTCAAATCGAAAGAACAGGGTGTTGTTTGTGAAATTACTTCCCTCAAACATGACAATATGCAGTTGGTTGGATATCTGGAAGAAGCACAGTCCAGTAGCTCTAAAGTACAGCAGTTGATGGAAGCTTTCATCCAGGAACTACAAAGCTTCAAACAAACACTGAATGAAAATGTTTCTGTTTTTGAGCCGTTAGTCAAAAATGAATCTTTGCAAGCTATCCAAGATGACTTACAGGTGTCTTTCAAACATATCAAAGCAAATATAGAAGTCACACCATGTGAAAAAAACATCTTTGAAAAGGTATTGTACAATTTGTATACAACATGGGTAGGATATCCTGGAGGGTAAAAATGTCTGTATAAAATCAGGATCTCTGTACTGAGGGAAATTTTGTAACAGTTACTAAACACAGTTTAGAAACACAGTTCTTGCTGTGTTCATTGGCGCTTGATTCTAGATAACTGCCAAAAATTGTAGCACCTGTCAATATATGGTCCACTTGTTATGCAGCGATGTTTCCCACGCTGATGCTCTCAGCATGAATAGGATGAGCTACAATGGCTTGAAATTCTCAAAACAGAATCCAAACCATGAAAAGCAGTGGTTCTCAACCTGTGGGTCGGGACCCCTTTGGGCGTCGAACGACCCTTTCACAGGGGTCGCCTAAGACCATCGGAAAAGACATATTTTTGAAAAAATACGGAAAGCAAAATAATTTTATGGTTGGGGGTCACCACAACATGAGGAACTGTATTAAAAGGTCACAGCATTAGGAAGGTTGAGACCCACTGATTGGTTCTTATGGGGTTTTTTAGTTGTGTACACCACCTTAAGTTGTTTTGAAGTGGCAGCCTTATAAATCTAGATAATGATGATATTTACCTTATGTGATTAAAGATAACAGATTATAATTACAAGATGAGTATACAAAGTAAAACCTTGATGACAATAAAAACATTTTCTCTCACTGTAAAAAAGAAAACAAAGTAAGCGTCTGGCTTACTTTTTGGAGGGCGTTTCAAAAATCTCTTGCTATTACAGAGAAAGCCCTACATCTGAGATAAGATTGCAAACGAAATGAAGGGGCTGGCAGTAAAATCAAATGGAAAATCAGCTGTCCAGGTTGGAAACAGGTAATGCTTGAGATCATTTAAGTTCAAAGAAGGTTTAATCAGAAGAAGACATATTAGAAACACCTGAATTCAGAACTGAATAAATATCCGATGCACTTCGTTTTAATTATAAAGTTTCTATTGTAAGAATTACATGTATGTTGTTTTAATTATGCAGACCAACAGCCTAAATCAAATGCTTCAACTCCAAGAAGAGTATGATTCTTTCTGTCATTCAATTCAATTGTGTTTGGACGCCTATAAAATGCTAAAGCAGGAAAAAACAGTAATGGAGAAGCAAATTCATGAACTTGAAACTCAGATGAAGATGATAGATCCACGTATGTACCATGCTTTGAAAGAAAACAGTAGCTTCAGATGTCAATAGAATGCAAAGAAAAAATGGTGGTTGTGCTGGAATTTAAATGGATTATATTGAGCCAGCACAGATTTTGTCTATACATATCTGTTCAAAGTATACTTTATTCCTGTCTCTGCTAAACAACTATTCTAAACACACATATATAAGAGTGTGAGGTTTATTTTAGTAAATGTAGTAATTTCTAGTAATGAACCCCCCCCCTCTTATTTTACATAGGTTTTCAGGGGGATGTTGGTGCAGAAGAAATCAGGTTGGAGCTAGAAGAATTGAAAGAATCGGTTGAGGAGAAAACCAAAGAGGCAAATCACAACTTGGAAAAGTATTGTGTACTGGTAATCAAGCATGATAAATTAGAAGAAGAAAATGAGATGCTAAGGACACAGGTCTCGCTGTTAAACACTTCTCTCAAGCAGTTATTAAATGACACCAGTTCCTCTCTCCAAAGTTCTCAAAACCCAGTGGAAATCAACAGGCTTCTTACAGAAAGAGCAGATGTGTCTAAGATCATTAAGAAGAGAGAAAGGTGTGAAGAAAACAAAGTCAATGGTGAGAATTCACTTGGAAAAATCTAAGAATTCTTAATAGTTATCTTCTATAATTATTAAAGATTTAAGGTAAAGGTTCCCCTCGTACATATGTGCTAGTCGTTCCTGACTCTAGGGGGCAGTACTCATCTCTGTTTCAAAGCCGAAGAGCCAGCATTGTCCAAAGACGTCTCCGTGGTCATGTGTCTAGCATGATTAAATGCCAACCACATTTGGAACGCTATTACCTTCCCACCAAAGTGGTCCCTATTTTTCTACTTGCATTTTTACATACTTTCGAACTGCTAGGTTGACAGAAGGTGGGAGCTCACTCAGTTACACGGCACTAGGGACCCGAACCGCTGAACCTTCTGATCGACAAGCTCAGCGTCTTGGCCACTGAGCCACCGCTCAGTAAGAATGTCACTATTTTTTCCTCACCTTTTTTATTAATGTAAATAGTGGGAAATGCAG